GGCCTTCTCTGATCCACACTTTAGAGAAATTGCTTCTTTCTATTTTTTTAAAGGAGAGCTGTCATTTTTCGTGAGGCAGGTTATTTTCCCCCTGCCATCTCTGTCCATGTTCATAGCACGGTTCAGAGGGAAACAGTATAAGGAGCACACACTTTTGCAGTAATTGGGAACAGAACTTTGGTGTGGCCCAACGTAAGCTGATGTGAGCCTAGTAGGAGCAGAGTAAACATAGGAGGGGAACCAGGGAGACTGTCTGGGTCCACAGGGACTTGCACAAGAACACAAAGCATTAACATAATGTGACTGTTGGAGGTTGCAAAATCTACCTCATTGCTCTACAGGTGCCACAACATCTCAAATAGCATCCAGTCATTGGTTCTGTCGATTCTAAACAGGTCCGCACACACTCTGATGTGATGATCGATAGAGAAAAATAATGTTTTCTGCATTTTAAAACGCAAGCTGGCTGCTCGCCTCGCATATGTTGATTTTGTTGAGTCGTTGTAGATGGTTTCTGGAACTCTGCTTGAATTTTTATCAGACAGCACTCTTTCACAGCCAGCAGCGGTCTCTAGTTCATAAGCGTGAAACAGAATTTGCTGAATTCTGCACTGTGGCGCATTATGCTGTAGCATTATAAAGAGTCTATAATATGATATGAGCTACAGTAGAGTGTAATCTACTCTCTAAGGATTCCCTACACTGTTCCTCTGACCAATTCAGTATGTCATGTTACAGTGAGTCCATCTCAAAGAATCCATAGCAGTACAGAATCATTACGCATAGAGATTAAAGGGATATTCCAGTTTTGGGGGGGAAATAGGCTCATTTTACCACTCCCCCAGAGTTAAACAGTTGAGTTTTACCGTTTTCAAATCCATTCAGCCGATTTTCTGATATTTAGAAGAATATCAGTAACCTGGTCTCATTGACTTACATAGTAGAAAAAATATATACTATGGAAGTCAATGAGACTGTCTGGTTACTGATATTCTTCTAAATATCTAAAAATCGACTGAATACATTCGAAAATGGTGAAACCCAACTGTTTAACTCTGGGGGAGTGGTAAAATGAGCCTATTTCTAAAAAAAAAAAAAAAAAAAAAAAAAAAAAAAAAAGTGGAGAATCCCTTTAACAAATGATTATGATTTATGTTCCCCTGTATGCAGTAAAAATATGGTGATGTGCTTAAGAATAATGTGCCTTACAAAAAAAAAGTTCTTACAAAACTAACCCACTGGATGTAAATTAGCATAATGATGCATGCACACCGAACTATTAAGAATCTTGCACCATTACACCAAAACAACATGGTAGTAAGTGTTTCAGATAGGCAACTGTTACGTCACAATATTATAATTTAATCATACTGAAACTGCTTGTAAACCTGTTAGAGAGACTACATCTGTGGCTGCTATGAAACAAATGAAAACAAACCCAGTTTTTAAAAAATCTCATATAGGGATCTGAATATTGTGATATAACAATGTTACTCTAGAAAAAAATTATGGAAGAAATTAGAAATTATTTTCACTCAGAAATGGCTAACAATTTTACAAATAATTACCAAGAAACTGCAAGTAACATTGAATTATACCTGAAATTTTGCAGTAGAATAACTAACTTTTCTTGTAAAAAATTAAATTGCTATGAGATGTAATTGACAAAAAGATAACAAATGAGGCTTGAGTTCGTAAATTCCTCCTCACCTCCTGAGGCCAGATTACCAGCTAGACTGCTGGTTTAAATGAATATCCGATCGAGTCTGAAAGGGAGGCAGGATTTCTGCAGAGCACAGATGCTATGCATAATTTTCCCTTAGAAGAATCAAATGCATTATCGTTCGTTCTTTAATCAACGCAAAAACAACAAGCTTTCCGTTAAAGAGGCTGGATATTCATTCATCCTCTCTCCAGCCTTCAAGTAAAACAATATTCAGGAGACACAGGTTAAACGACTGGCTAAGGTTTCCCCAGTAACAGGTTACGAAGTGTGACAGAAAACACAAACAGGATGGCACACATATGGCACATCACCGAAAGGCAGACTTTGTTTCAGGGTAAAGATATTCTGTTCAGTTCATGTTGGCAACATTTTCTCCCTCAGCCCATTGAGCCTTCATTCCTGCCCTCATTCTCCACATATAGCCTGCTGCCCCACTATCCTAAATTTCCAGCTTCAGAAAAAAAAAGGAATCGGTACAGGTGACAGATTGTCAGGCCTAGAGACAGGGGAAATGAGGTGGGGGTGGGATAATATCAAGATAGGGGGTACATTAAATTGTATAGTAAAAAAAAGTGGGTTACTGGGGCTGCTGGGATAGGTGAACAACAATGTGGTAGAGAAAACACTAAAGAGACAATGGTGATGACACTCTGGGCCAAGCAAAATGAACATGTATGTGCGTGTTACTTGTCAGTACAATGTCAGAGAATATACTAGAAGGCTCAGTTCCAAGTTTTAAATGGTGGAAGATGTCTCAGAATACCAAGATCGGACATACTTTACTATGATTGTACAGCATCATTCCACCAATATGAGTGTGCCTGGTTAAAGTATTTTTCTCTGTAATGTGATAAATAACTTTTGGCATAGTCAAGAGAATATGTACACAAATTTAGTTTTAAAATCATTCAATGCCTGCTATCCATAGCCTATGTGGTAATTTATTGTGGCAAGCAAATAACAATGTGCCCAATTTAGACAGAAGAGCATTTTTGCTCTAGAAAGAATGATTATTCATTGAAATACTTAAAATGCAACACATGTATGCCTGGATAAACTTGATTGTAGAAGGTTTGTAAGATGTAAAAAGTGCTGCAGAAAGTTCAGTGAATTCATCTCTTACATTTACAATGAACTCATCTGACAGTTGGTAAGCAACCTTACCCAAGCCTTAAGAAACCTGTCCCACTTGTCTTCATAAATTTGTACAATCCCCTGCTTTCCATATTAACGGCTCAAACTGGCACACCTGACATAACATGTTGTGCATGACGAATGACTCATGATTACCATTATGACCTGGAATTGACACATAAAGAGAATGAACAGTAATGGGTGTGTGTGTGAAATGAATACAAATGTTGAACGGTGAATACGCATCTAGAAGATTAATAACAGCACAGGAATTAAAATATGTATAATGTGTCTTCAATGTATAAATCCATAAACACACAGCTCAAACAGTTACGTTGTGCTTGATATAAATTTGTAAGCTGCAGCACAAAAGGTAAACCTGCAAAGAATGGACATCAGGTACACTGATTTTCAGAATGACTTGTTAGTGTTGGCCAGCAGCACACACACTGTAAAGGGTCCAGCCACACAGACCTGTGGGCCAATCAAGCATCACTGAACATAAAGCATAAATGATCCCAGCTGCAGCCCACAGCCTCTAATAGGAAAACAAACAGAGCATGACCATATTTACTGGTGCTTGCGAGTGTCTATGTGCAGACACACTTATACACAGTTCTCCCATTACTTACTGCAAACCTTGCAGCCAAAAAAAAAAAAAAAAATGGAGACTGCAGTTAATTTGGATGTATGGTTTCTGGACCACAAGCAGTGCGGCCATAAACTTGATGTATAATTAAACTAGCATAGACAAGTAATATAATGAAATGCTTCAGTGGCTGCAGGGTTTTTAAAAGGACTTTTTTCACTCAATGTCTCAGAGCCAAGGTTAGAAACACGCTAATGATCAGCAGTAACAAGCCAGGAACAAAAGGACAGTGTCTTCATGCATCAACAGCTGCCTATAAGGCATACTAATGCAGAAATGATAACAAACGACTGCCCTGCTGACTGAAATAAATCCCCCAAAACCAAATGAGAAAAAAAAATAATAATCGATACTGTGAACAATACAGAAGGTTCATGTATGAATTATACGACAATTCACCATGACGTCACAACAATAAAAGACGTTCTTCCGGGTGGCAAAAGCCGAAGCGTCCCTATGGCAACACTAGTAAATTGCATGGAGAGAGACACACCGCCGGCAGAAGCCTAATCTACATTTCAACAGTTGATTTAAGAACAGACGTGGTGGAAATTCAGACATAGTTAACATGATCATTAAAGCTTAGATTCTTTGATCTAGAGACGTGCACTCCCAACGCACTAGACCGCGGCGCGGGACTAGATCTGATGGCCGAGTGCGGGCGGTAATGCACTCTGTGTGTGCGGATTGCAGGAGAATAAAACGATTCGCGGGACTCCCGCAAACTAGAAATATCTATGAATAAAACAAATAAAAACTAATACATTTGTATTCATCTGTTGCAGAAAAGCAACAAGAACAACTAAAACAAAATAGAAATGACTTACATGGCAGAGTTTCATTTTATAACGTGACTGCAGCGATGTAGCCAATCACAGACATATGTGTTGATTTATTGAACGCACTGGCCAATCAGAAGCATTTACGATGAAGAAGCATTTACTCACAGTTCAAAAGAAAGTAACATAGAAAGTAATAGAAATAACTAAGTTAGTTGAGAACGTCAGTTATATAACGACCCACGTATTAAAATGGTTGGGTTTAAATCGGGCTCAGGCTCATAATTAGAAGACGACATGCACTTTTGACGACGTCCACTCGCTTTAACCTTCTCACCCACAGGTTCTGCTGGATAGATTTACTTTTTTCTGAAGGAAATCGATAAAAAACCTACACCTTTTGCTGTATATCTGGTGGCGCAACCCCAAACACAACATATTTTCGCCATAGATTCAACTTTGATCAACATCAATGATTTTAACTGTGTAACTGTTCAGTTGCCGGCTGGATCTCTTCAGTTAGTCAATGGAAGCCGTTCGCGTTCTGCCACCCGGAAGTATCGCGGTGCCTATTGTTTACAAACATTCTGAAATGCCCTATAGTGCATCGGTTAGTCACTCGCGTGACGTGAGGCTGCCTCAGCCCAGCACGTGCTCGCTCATTGCATTTGTATGCACGCAAAACAGTATGAAAAAGAGCTAGAGACCAACGCAATTTTCATAGGGCAATCTACGTTTATTTGAATAAAAACAGCTTTCTTTAAACGTACTAACTGAAATACAAAAATATGGACTCCAAAAACATAAGAATGTTCGCTGCATTTGTTGGTAAGAGAATGAAAACAAGGCTCGTGTGTTGTCGCCTGTAGGGGGTTAGAAGAACTAAATGCAGCTGCACAGATGCGCAATAACCGAGCTCCACGTTTCATGGTAAAACTAGAGTTCAGTCAAATAAGAGACAATGTGTCAAGCTGTATAACAAGTATTCCTTTAAACTAACTATTTTTTTAAGGTTACCAGTTCATATTTTTAATTAGCAGCAAGTAGCCCAATGGTTAGTATCTTTTTCCATTTCACCCTTAATGCCTAATTATTCCTTCCAAAATTAGCCTACCTTTCTTCGAGTCACTATTCTGATCATGACAAGCAAATATCCCTTGATACAGATTGCATTTTTTGCCATTTAATTCTAGGTGGATCTGTGGTTCAGATATGAACTCTTTACTTCCAATATAGATGTTCCTTAGGCACCTGTTTTTAGCTACCAATTAGATCGTAGTAGCTATTGATGTAGGCTATTTATTCAAATATTGTTAGGACAAAAAAAAGATACAAACTATTTGACTATTTACTGGTGAATAATGAATGTTTGTAACACAAACAATTAGCCAAGTAGTTAGTCTTAAGGAATAAATGTCAAAACGGCTTGCCACAGACATATGAACCCATCGTGGTGACCATCTGCCGCAGCAGAGCTCGGGTGCGAATTTGAAGGGACTGTCATGGGCGAACTGTGATGTTTCTCACCTTATGTTTTATCTTTTTCCTTTTTTAAAGGTACAGGGTGACTTTAGTGGGGCCATCGGTTCTCACAGCACAACCAAAAGGGGCGTTGTCTTTGCCAAAACATGTTCACACAAATACGCACAACCCTGCCAAAGTCCTGAAATAAAGGTAAGCAGCCCTTGGTCAAGGCATGCAGAGAGTCCCAGTGTGCTCATTCCTTCCCGGTCACCAGCGACAGCTCCTTCAGAATGCCACTGGCGTCCACGCGCCGTCTCTCACGAATCATCTCTTCCAGGCTGCGGAACATGAGCGTGTGCGCGGTGCTCTCGGACAGGTGCACCTTCAGAAAGTAGCGCTGCTCGACCGAGTGCGCCTCCCCGCCCGCTTTAAACTCCCGCTTGCCGAAACGGCACCAGGCTGCGAAACTTTCCGAGTTCGTCCAGCAAATCTCGCCACTGCTGAGCCCCACGTGCCCGCTCGCGTTCTGCATCACCAAATCAGCGGGCAGCGGCCGGTAACGGTACCGATTGTTCACTATCCTGCCCTGTCGACCGCAGCTGATCTCAAACAAGCTGTCCTTGCGGATCTCCCCCTTGTAGAGGTGAATAACCTGGTCCTCCCCTTCAAAGATCGCCCAGTGTGGGGGTTGTGCGTTGGCCACTAACTCCAGTAGATCCCCGGGTTTGCACATGGTCAATAAAGTTTTCACAGAATAAACATTCAGGTCCTCATTCTCTCGCAGTTTGGAGTATATACATTCCTGGCAGCAGAACGCCGAGTACTCGATCTCGTTAAGTGCAATCGGACCGTCTTTGCTCGGGCTGTTGTTGTCTTTAAAGCTGTCCGACTGCGATCGATCGTCCAGTTCTTCCTCCTCATCGGAAAAGAAATACGCCACACCAACACGTAACTCGTCCTTCTCGATGCCCGATGGATCCCCGGTGGGTAGCTCGCTGTAGTTCAGGTGGGTGATCCGGTCCAGTTGGTTTCCCATCAATAACAGGGCAGAGGAGAGACATGGAATACTGCTTCTGAAATACAAAAGGGTTATGTGAGTGTCAGACTGGAGAGGCGTACTAGAATTACTCTGACGCGCCCGAAACGCTGTCTAGGTACAGAGTCATAGTAGTCACCTCACTACACAATAAACCACCACGCGCACCTGGGTGCGTAAACAAGCCAGTCGCGCAGAGCGCGGCACAAAGAGGAAAAGGGCGAGTCAATGTGGTTGGTACTACTCACGAGGCTCATGTATGTTAATACGTTCTCAACGCAACACCTCGAACGGACGCATACCTGCGTATTTCCCCAGGACTATGGTCAATGGTCCGTACTCTTCATCGGTGCTGGTGCTGTGTGTATCCCGCAAGGTCTCCAAAACAAACGCGTTACCTCCCCCTTTCGTGTCCTCCAAGGTACACTGGCTTCTCCTACACTTTGCACCGCCGCACTTTAAGTAGTCTAGAAAACTCCGCCCCGACTAGCAAAACCTGCCCTCCTGGTTGCGATTGGTTCAGAGCCCTCATGAAAAACTTAAACCTTTGCTCAGAGTCTTATATTACAGATGTTTGTGTTGTTCACAGCCTCCAGTAACCAAACGGCTTGGCAGATTTGTCGAATGTAATAGTAAATAGGCTTGAAATTGAGCTAAGAAAAGTTAGAGATTCATTATGAGGACATTTGGTTTCTGAATGGTTGATTAGCTCTGTCAAAACAAGTTACAGCTTATGTTTGCTAGAACACTTTATTAAAGAAGTATTTCGGGTTCAGGACAGGTGCATAAAGTTGGCATAAAGTGGATCACCACAAAAATCATTTTGAGTGGTCTCTCATTTTGTCATTTAAGCTCTCTTTACATTTTACATTAAGCTCTCTTAATGTTAGTTAATAAGTATTTTTCATTGTTAGTTATTGTTAGTTTGTTAACTAATGTAGATCCAATATTAACAAATTGAACCTGATGTTATCCATTTGCAAATTGGCCCCATTCACTTCTATTGTAAGTGCCTCACTGTCAACCAGGTTTTTGATATTTTAAAATAAAAGGAGGGACTAGTCGAAAATAATTTTTATGGTAAAGGAATACAACACACATGCTGTCGGCTGAACTGATGTACAAGACTTGAATCTATATGATAGATAAATGCTGTTTTCCTGTCAGATCTGGTGTGGACCTCTGCATTCTCACACACAGGGACATACAACACACACACACACACACACTAGCTGTCATGAGACTCAGTCAAGTGACTGAGTAATTTCTTGCAGCATCTTGCAGCCATTCATAAGGGTGTGCAGCCCTTCTGCACACACACACATTCACAGTATTGACACACAAGCCATTCATAGGCCATATGCCACACAAATTTCCACACAAACAAGGCACTCCAGTGGCAGGCTTGAAGTTGGAATGATTTAAATTATAATTATTCTGTGAAGAAAAATCCAATTATCCACCTATGAAATGGATAGCCCTTATGTCTCACTAACACACCCATCTGTGTCTGCACGCGTGTTTAATATGTATAGATGCTCTATACTTATGTGTGTGATGGCGGAGAAAGAGAAAGATAATCTATTTGAAAGGCGGATGCAGAGGACCTTTAAAAGAATCCTGATGCTTTGGCACACAACCAAACATAATAGACATACTTTCACAGCGTATAGGTCAGTAGACTTACAAGTGCGTGAATACTTGCGGTGCATGTAAGAGAGAGTGACAGAAAAGAAATGGAAGAGAAGGATGTGAGGGAAATAAAGGGACAGCACACAATATCCACAGGGTTCTGCACTTTTCTTTGAAATATAGAGATGGGCCGTATTTGCAGTAAACAAGCATACTGTAATCATATAAGAACACCAGGGAAAACAAGTCAAGCACAAACAAAGGAGAGTATATGAAAGAGGGAGAAGAGGAGTGGAGGAATGGAAACCAGGAGAAAAATGGCTTTTGGTAACAATGGCCATGTGGCAGTCTTGCATTCAATATATCCAGCTGAAGGCTTGGGCTTTGAGAAAGCAGTATTTTATGGGCTTCATATAAAATGCTGCCAAGATAACTAATCATTCCCTCTATGATGTTATGAGTTTAACAGTTGGTGTATGTGAACCCCTTTTGCATGAATACAGATAAACACGCTTTAAATCTATCTTCTGCTCTAGCAGGTATAGAGTTTTTACCTAAAAGAGCTTCTTTTGTTTGTTATTATTCCATAGAAAAGTGCAAACATACTAATATATACAGTGGGGTCCAAAAGCTTGATATTGAAAATCTCGGATTTTGTTTTTCATTTGAACTTTGAAATAAAATTAAAAAACAAAGTTAAAAAAAAAGGTTACACATAAAATTTAAATATTTAACGACTTTAATGACTAGATGGTCAGATGTATTTCATTTCCTTGAACTCACCCCAGAAAGCAAATTGGCTTTGAGCCGGCTCTGGCTAAATTTCGGCTGAGATTTTGGCAACATACTGCATGGAATTACGGTCCAAGGTTGGCCCAAGTACTGTTTGCCGTAAGTTAACCAGATCAATGCCGGGAACAGACCAAAACTCGCCCAGAGCTTTACAATGTACCCAGATATTGTCCAGAACTGGCCCAAAACAACGCCATAATCCCCATATGTCAGCCAGACAAAAGCCAAACTGCCACCACCTTTAGCCCAGAACTCATAAAATGACACTACAGAAATGCAAAGTACAATATTGTATTGAGAGGGCAAGAAAATCTCAGCCAGATAAAAGGAAAAACAAAAGACAAGCCAATACTAGTTCAATTCTACGGAGTTCAAATGCTGTCACCACCACAAAACAATAGACATAGCCTTCATAGCCTTTCCTGCACAGCATTCATCTTCAAGTCCAAAAGAACTCATGTTTCACCTGGGCTGTGAATGTAAGTTAGTGGTCTGTATTGAATGTAAAGCAATAACAGTGTAATGAGAAATAATGTCAAGAAATGTCTCACGTATAATTTCTTGCTGCTACTGCTAAGTGTGGCCTGATAGACAAACTACTCTTGAGTTGGTTATGTTAGTTCAAAGTTAAGCATTCAAGTATAAAACGAGTTGCTATACTCTAAAAAATACTGGGTTGTTTTAACCCAACTGTGGGTCAAATATGGACAAACCCAGCCATTAGGTTACATTTTTTAATTTACATTTTTAACCCAATGTTTGGGTTTGTCCAGTGTATACCAAAATGGTTGTTTTATTTTTAATTCCATTTTTAAATCCAAAAACACATTCTGTGCGAATGACCCCTGCCCTGACATTTGATAATTATGGGATGTTTTGTTTGGAAGTGCACCAACAACCACCAAATTTGTACCAAACCACAATTTTCACTTTTTATTCAAATCGTAATAAAAGGATTTACTTTAAAACAATTTAAACTCAGAAATTGTTAGCAAATTTCAACAATAATTTGAATAAAGAAACGGCAAATGACATCTGACTTTTGGATCCCGCTATAGCAATTCAAAAAATAATTAGCTGCAGAGGATTGGGAATTCCAAACAATACATCCCATCCTGCCAAAAGCTCTTATATTTTGTTCCATGTTCAAAAAGCACTCTTTCATCATCGTGTCCTCAGCTCAGTGACTGTCATAGGTATTTTTATAGGCCTACTTCAAGTGGTTTCACAAAAGCTCTCAAGAGGAAATATTAATTAGGATTCTGAGGAATGGTGTTACTATACTGGAAAGGATGAGATGTATCTGATTTATTTGGCTTGACCTAAAAATATCCCCTGGTCTTAAATTCGCTGTCACACACAACAATAACACTCCCAGTCAGTCTGTTTCAGTCAGAGTGAGTCACATGTGCTGAGTGCAGTGGGTGAGCGTTCCAAACCATGCCGACATTAAAGGCCTTGACCCTGCTTTAGACCACAGAGCGAGTTCAGCTTCCATGCCAAAATGACAATTTAATCCTCACTCTCACAGGAGACCACAGATACTTTTCTTTAGACCCGCAAGAAAGATCTATGCTTCTTATAGATTGTGTTCCCTCATCGGGTGGAGAAAGGCTATTGACAATTCTTTCACACATTTCCCTTATGGCCCTATTGTAGAACTCCCACCACAATGTGCTATTGATGGAGCAGCTCACTGACAGTTTATTCTCTCATTCTCTGCTTTCAGTGCTGCCATCCACCTCTTTTTTTCCACACTTCGATACTATTTGTAGGCCGTGCTCCCTGAGCCTTTATCTGAGAGGAGTGCTTTCTCAGCCCCACGCCCTATCACTGCACAAATAACTATTATCGGGACCGGTTTCCTGTTATGGGCCAGCTGCCTTTAGTGGCATTTCATATGAGATTTTTTCCTTAACATCACTGAAACTTTATAGGTCCCTGGCCCCGCACTGTCATATCCTGTCCTCCAGTGCTGTGTGCTTGTCTGCCACCATTAGAAAGCCTGGCGAGGAACTAATGAAAAACAAGAGTTCAAAATGTCTGGTCACTCGGAGAGAATGAGCTAATAACTAGCTGTCAGACAGAAGGGTTAATGCAGGGGCTGAGGTGGTGCGAGGAGGTCTAGCAGATGGACGTTTTCTTCTGAGAAAGTACGGCAGACTAAGAGAGGCTGATCAATTATAAGCTTCGGGTTTAGGCCGGTCTGATGATTAAATACATTTTCATGTCATCTGCCAAATGGAAAGTGTCTGAGGAAAAACAGCAAGATGGCATTTTAAGGGATCCAGCTGAGCTGTGCCTTTTTGGATGTTGTAGAGTGAACAACTTGACTAAGCAGTGGCACTGACAGAAACTGGTAATTGGTGTTTTCTGTTGGGTTTTTCAGCAATAATTATATTCCCAGTTGTTGGTCAATGCACTTGTTTACCTTCAATCGCTCTACTGAGTTTTTCTCTGACACCTGTCTGAATTTTTAACATGCTGACCTGCAAGTTCTGGATCGTGAAACAGCCTCTTCTTCCATAAATCTTGCAGGGTTGTACACCATTCAAGAAATTCTTGAATTGCAATAGAATTTGAATTGAAGTAGCAAACAAGATGCTAGTTTATGTCATTATTTTGAATTGATTCACTTTTCTGGACTAGGATAGGAAAACAATTATTTCCAAGAATGCATTATTTGTATTACATTTCTTTGAATTACTATTCAGTCAATTCCTCATCCAATTCAAATTCAACATGTGGTGAGTGGCCAATTTAAATTCCACCTCATGATTCAACAGTTCCTTATCTCAGAAAAAGCAACAAGGGGCCATGTTCTTCAACACTTTTATCTGTGTGTTTAAAATGACTAGTCCCAGACTAGGGTGATATTTTGTTGTCAACCGAACGTGCAGGAGGAAACGCGGGCAAATCGGCACATTGTATTTCCTCTGACAACTTAACAGCCCTCACCCCCACCCTTCCTCATTCAAAACCAGTTTGCTCCTGTTGTTTTTTCTTCCACAACCCCTGACAGACG